GAAGAAATCGGTTGGATCCTTTGGATCACGTTAGGCCTTAAAAGCATGCCCCAAGATCAAAATGTTGTAGAATGTAAATTTGCACACTAAATACTGCATGTGAACGTATTCATGAGAAAAGGTCCGGCAGTGCAGAAAAAAGGAAAAGAATCTGTCGAAAACGCTAGAATTAGGGTTTGCTCCTTCTTTGGTACGCCTGGCTAACATAATGTATAGAGAAAGAGCACGGAGTGGAGAGCATGAGGCGAGAGAGCGCCACAGGAGAGAGAACGTTACATAACAGCTTGCTGTGGATGGAGAATATTGAAACTGCAAGTGGCTAACTTTGCAAGGCCAGTACTCTTGTCGAGTGATTTCCCTGCACGTTAGAGCCACAATTGTGTGTGTTTTCTAGGGCTTCCTTCTATCTAAGGGAATCGTTCGCACACTTCTGCTTCGAATGCGCCTTCAGGCCTAGTGGACTATTTTTCTCTTCTCATCAGCTCTCATCATTTTATAGAATTACATCAACTTTTTATTCCGTCGTCTCGAGAGGGTACATTCATTATGAATAAACTTTGAAAGCTGACCTTGCTTCTGTTCTGCTCCTCCAAAATCCAAGAAATGGTCACCCTGACTCCAGTCGAGGTATCCTTTATAAACAAACGGCACTCTAGTATCGTGAACAATGGGTATGGCGCATGGATCGGAGCTCTGCTTATAAGGTCTGCTGGAGCAAGCTGAACACTTTATACTGCTGATTGCTCTAGCTACGGTTGAGCTGCAGTAGCAGCTTCATAAATCCAGCACTAAATGCATTTCAATGATAAAACCGGACCACACTAACCTCCACGACTGATACCGCCACGAATAAAAACATATTGGCCTTGATTAGTGTCTTTTTTTAAGAACACAATTGTTTTTTGGAAGCTATGCGGTACGGGTACTTCTGAAAAGCATCAAATGTTTTGGCTCCAGGAAGCTATGTTCAAGTTACTATCTGACCTATTCTACGCCGATGTACTTCCTGATGTGAAACTGAAATAGCGACAGCTTGATTGCCGTCTATTTCCACAAATGCCCAACCTGTAAGAAATTACCATTCAATTTATGAGTTAGGCGGGCCACGACGTTTCCAAGTAACGTTTTTCTTCACTAGGCAATTAACACAGCTCCTCGTCTCAATCGCTCGCTTATGTGCTCAACGCGTGCGAATAGAGGTTGCTACATTCATTCAGCCCAGAATGGTTATTTCTGACCAAAGCAACGGAAAGAATAATTGCAAAGATGGCTCAAATTATGCTTAATCGTTACTGTTGTCTACATGACTATTACGAAAAACATGCTGCTGAACTACAGAAAACCTCGAAAATAAAAATATCCATGAAATTGTTGATTTGACTAAACTTGAAAATGTATGTTATGATAAATTGGGTATGGGAGATATAAGTCTACCACAAAAGGACGCTGAGAACCAAAAAAGCGAGAGGAGGCTCGTATCGTAGCAAAGGCTTGCACCTCAGAAAAGTTTCTCCGCGAGGAATGCCGGGCGACGGACTTTTGGTGCGTCCGGGATGGCACGCGGCATCGCGCGGCGGCTGCGCGGCGATCCGGATGCAAATCTCGCGGGCGTCTGCAGTGGAATTTACCACGTCAAAATGTGAAACGGATAAATTTCGCAAGGTTCTGCGACTCAATTACATTCCAACGTGCGAAGTTTCAGCGGTGATGGTCAGGAAACTTTGGTAAGAAGGGATGAGAAGGAGCTGACATAAAGCTGTGACAGCGATCAGGGCGTCATGTCGTTGGGAGAGGCAGTGAGTGAGCCAATTACTGTGCTTGGAACTGAGCCTCAGGGGAAGGGGATTCTGGGAGCAAATTGTGTTCTTCCAGGCGTTCCTCCCCCTCCTGGGCTTAGTCCTAGTGTCACCACCATCGGCTGTTTTGAATGTCCTCTTACGATTAGAGACACGAGCGCCAGAAAAGCAATATATAGTTGACACTGAAAAACATTGCAGTAAAAACTCCTA